GCACAGTCCCGATGTTACTAAACCACACGGCAGGCCATTAACTTAAGTCCATTATAGGTCCCAAGGTCAGCAGAGCATGGCAGACTGCTGAACAACGACACAGTCACATGCAGGGTCCAAGCGTGCCATAGGCTAGAGACCATTCTGAAAGCTTCTCCTTATATACAGGAAGCAGACCATAATCCCAAAGGCAGCAGCTCACTCAGCTGCTTGTGGTAGATCCCACCATGGAGTGGATTGCCAGTCTCATCATGGGGAATAACTATAACCAGCTGCCCAGCCACTCAACTAGGCCCAGCCAAGTTGACACACAAACGTTAACTACCACAGCAACCCTACAGGACAGAGCAGAACTGTCCCATAGGTTCCAAAGCTGTAAATCTTTACAGAAGCAGATTGCCTCATCTTTCTCCCGTGGAGTGGCCTGTGGGTTCAAACCACCAAGCTCTGGGTTAGCAGGTGTATGCTTTAACTATTGAATCAACAGAGTTCCCTTCAAGGCTGTCAGCAGAAAACAAAGGCTAAAGCAGAGTTGTAAACTGCCAGATTATGGAAGGCATTCCCCAATACACGCATACAGCTCCCTGCACAAAGTGTGGGAGACTTCTGGCTCAAGGCATTTAAAGAAATCTAGTCAATCACTAATTTACTACTAAGCAAACTGGGAACAAAACAAAATTACAGACTTTACAGAATTCAGGCAATTCACTAAACAAACATATACAATAAACAAGCAATAACAACAACAAACAATCCAGGCTGGAGTAAGAGGGTTGGGGGTTGATTTCCAGACTTCTCACATTCTATTGTTTGAAATGTCTAGTTTTCCAATTAAAAAATTATGAGACATGCAAAGAAACACAAAACTATGACCCATACACAAGAGAAGAAAAAAAAAAAAAAAAGTCAATAGAAACTGTTCCTTACAAAGCCCAGGTGTTGGAATTACTTGACAGTCTTTAAATCAGCTATTATCAATATGTTCCAAGAACTAAATGAAACCTTTAGTTGAATTCTTTAATATCCAACAAATTAAAGGAAAGTATGAGAATAATGTCTCACCAGTTAGAGAAAACAAGTAAAGAGAAATTTAAAAAGAACCAAAAAGAAATTCTGGAGTTGAAAAGTATAAAAACTAAAATTAAAATTTCTCTAGAGGTGCTACAGAGTGGATATTAGCTGGCACAAGAAAGAATAAGCAAACTTGAAGATAGATCAACAGAGATTATCTGTTCTTCTCCACAAAGAGAAAAAAAAAAGAATGGAGTAAAATGAAAAGAGCTTCAGAGATGTGTGGGTACCATTACACATACAAACATACAAATAATGGGAATCCCAGGAGGAAAGGAGAGAAAGAAAGGGGGGAGGGAAGAATATTTGAAGAAATAATGGCCATAAATTTTCAAACTTTCATGAGAAAGATTAATCTACACGTTCGAGAAGCTCAACAAACCCAAGTACTATAAATTCAAAAAGAGATTCACCCTTTCACATCATAGTTAATTGTCAAAAGACAGACAATCTTGAAAGCAGCAAAAGAAAAATGATTCCTCAAGTGCAACAGTGCCTGATAAGGTTAATGCCTGATTTCTAATCAGAAACCATAGAGCCAGAAGGCAGCATGATGACATATTCAAAGTGGTGAAAGAAAAAGACTGTTAACCAAGAACTCTATATCCAGCAAAATTATCATTCAAAAATCAAGGCATTATGAGATACAAATACTGAGAGAATTCACTAGCAGATCTGTTTTACAAGAAATACATAAGACAGATCTTCAGGCTAAAAGGAAAAGACTCTTTTACAGTAACTCAAATCCATATGAAGAAATAAAGAACACCAGTGAAGCTAACAATATTTACGTAAGATAGTAAAAATCTATTTTTGTAACTCTTTTCTTCTCCTATATGATTTAAAAGACAATTACATAAAGCAAGTTACAAAACTGTAATTTTATAATAATTTTGTACTGGTGTTAATAATTATATATGCATTTACTTAACATGCAGTAATATCCACATTAAACGTGTGTCAAAATTCTTATCAAAACGGGACTAAGTAGTTAGGTAAGTGAGAAAATACTATTCAATCTAGAAACTCTGGCCACTTTCCGAAGTACTATTAAAGCAACCTCTCAATGAAAACGTGGTAAACTGTTCCTGAAGGCTGTAAATGATATTAAGAGTTAACCTTCTCCATCACCCTCCAAATTTATATAAAGATACAAACACTCATGCACTATATTTTCCTCATGATACAGAAGCCTTTGTTTTAAAAACACATCTACAACTGGATTAGCATTTCCTATAAGTCAAGATCAGCTATTCACTGTAACCATTAAGTTATGGAAAATGAGGTTCAAAAAGATTACTCTAAATTATGATACCATTTTAAATAGTAAGATAGCAAGCCAATGACATTGATGTTAATTGAGATAACATGTAAGAGCTTTAAGTCTTAAAAAAATCACTAATCAAATGCTTATTCTGATATTACAAATACCACTTACTAATTAATGGAAAACCCCCAATTTGAACTTTTCAAACAATAAATTTATATGATAAAAAGAACTTAGAAGATGGAACATTAGATTTCTGTTGTTCTGCCCATTCAACATTTACCAGACCCAAAAAAAAAAAAAAAAAATTATGAGGCACTATTGCTGTGTGCAAAAACCCTACTGGTGCACTGGTTAACAAGCATCAACCAAAAGGTTGTCTATTTTAACCCACCAGCCATTCTGCAGGACAAAGATGTCGCAGCTGCTTTCCTAAAGATTTACAGCCTTAGAAATCTTTTGGGGCACTTTTACTCTGTCCCATAAGGTTGCTATGAGTTGGAATTGACTTGACGGTAGTGGATTTTGGGTACTGCTATGTGGCAAGCACTATGTTAGGAACTAGGGATAAAAAGACAAGGCCCCTAACCTTCAAAGTGTGCACAGTCAAACAAGGAGCTCCTATTCTATAATCAAAGGAGTTCTCATGGTGCAGTGCCTAAGGCATTTGACTGCTAACCAAAAGGTTGGCGGTTGGCGGTTGAAACCCACCAACCACTCTGCAGAAGGACGATGGGCCAATCTACTTCCATAAGGATTTATTGCCTTAGAAACCCAGAGGGGGTCACTATGAGTCAGAAATGACTCGATGGCAGTGAGTTTGGTTTTGGTTTTTTATTCTATAATCAAAGAATGTCTGACTAGTTTCCTAATTTCATATTCTTGTTATTATCAGGTAAAAAAAAACTGGGACTCATAGCTATTTAAAGTGTTAGTGGCTGAGGTAGACAGATACACAGGTCTATGAATTGTACCACATATTTTCTTATGACTAAGAGTGATGAAAAAGTAGCACTGGTGGTGTAGTGATTAAAGCATTTAGCTGCTAACCAAAAGGTCAGTGGTTGAAAACTATCAGTCCCTCCATGGGAAAAGGATGAGGCAATCCGCTTCCATCAAGATTTACAGCCTTGGAAAACCCTATGGCACAGTTCTACTCTGTCCTATAGAATCTTCATGAGTCAGGATCAACTTGAAAGCAGTGGGTTGGGTTTGGTTATTAAGAGTAATGAAAAAAAGCTTCCATGCGAGTGACACCGAAGTGTGGAACTGTGGGCAATGTATGTCACAGTTAGCAAATTAAGAGGCAAAAAATCCCTAATAATTATGGACAATATTAAATATTTAACAATTTAGATACAGAAATTTCTAATGGATATGATATCATAATAACGCCCTATAAGCAACCTTTATTAAAGAACTAGGAATCCCTGGTGGCACAAATGGTTAAGTACTTGACTACTAAACAAAAGTCTGATGGTGCATACCCATCCAGAAGCACCTCAGAAGGCAGGCCTGGTGATCTGATTCCAAAAGGTCACGCCCTTGAAAACGCGATAGAGCAGTTTTATTCTGCACCCTTTGACAACTAACAATTAAAGAACTGAAACAATAAATTAAAATAATGTAATGTAATAGTAAGCCTTCTACACCATAATGAGGTTTTCTCCTTTGTTTCCTGATCTGTAAAATGTTGTTGTTGTTGTTGTTGTTATGTGCTGATGAGTCCAACAGACTCATAGCGACCCCTCGTTGGGTTTCCGAGGCAGTATCACTACAGAAGTAGATTGTCCCATCTTCCTTCCGAGGAGTAGCTGGTGGGTTTGAACTGCCAGCCTTCTGGTTAGCAGTTAAGTGCCTTAGGCACTATATCAGAGCTCCCCATTTGTAAAATAAGGATATTAAAAGTATCTATTTCAACAGATTTTTGTGAAGATTAAATGAATTATAAAAGCACTTAGTAAACCTGGTACCTGGTAAATACTAAGTAAATGTTAGGCGCCCATCAAAAGCCACTCCTTCAATGCATTGGGGGAGCTCTGGTAGCATAGTGCCTAAGGCATTTGACTGCTAACTAGAAGGCTGGCGGTTCAAACCCATCAGCCACTCGGAGGAAGAAAGGTTGGGCAATCTACTTCCATAGTGATACTGCCTTGGAAACCCAAGGAGGGGTCACTATGAGTCGGGTCTGACTCGAAGGCATATAACAACAACAAATGCATTGGTGTGTCAGATAAAGATAAAAGAAAAAAAGGAACTATTTTTAATGGATCACTTTTATGATGGTTTTCTTTTTGTAGCAACTAGTAGACTGTATCACTAAACTATATATTTCAGAAAAAGTAATTAAAATGTATAAGATCTAATACTGTCTCCTCTTTCTCTAGAAAAACATATACCAGTCCTGTGATTACAGAAAAAATAGACGATAGATTATCATTTAATTTAGTATTTGTAAGATTATAAATCCTAAATATCATTTTTAAAATGTTTAAAGATGATTGTCAAGTAATTAAAAAGTTTATGTAGCTTTTCTTATCTTATATAAAACATCATTAATGTCTGACATAACCAAGCATTGGACACATTAATAAAAATACAACATATTAAAACATATTTTAACCAACATCAAAAATAAATAACTATATTCATATCTACTTACTGCAATCTCTCTACAAGCTGACATGGATATTCCTGTGCCTTCAATTTGCTTCAATGCATATTCCTTTTCATCTTTTCTGCACATAAACAAAAACAAAAATTAATTATATTTTCTACATATTTCTTTCAGATTTAAAATCATAGCTACAAAAAACAATGGAAGTTACTAAGTCTTTTCTATATGTAAACATTCTCACTATACTATGGGAGCTCTGGTAGCATAGTGCCTAAGGCACTTGACTGCTAACCAGAAGGGTGGAGGTTCAAACACACCAGCCACTCCTCGGAAGGAAGATGGGGCAATCTACTTCCGTAGTGATACTGCCTTGGAAACCCAAGGAGGGGTCACTATGAGTCGGGTCTGACTCAATGGCAAATAACAACAACAACAACAATGCTATGCATTGCTTAATTTTTTTGAAAGGATCGAAAATACAAAAATACAAAATACCAAAAGAAATTCATATCACAATGAAAACATCACACAGAGCCAAAACACAAAATTCAAAATTAAAACAAAACAGGATAGTAAACATGGCACCAGTTTCAAAGAATAGAAAAACATAAATATAAACTCAAGCACATTGCAAGATAATTCCACTCCTGTCTTAATATCTGGAGTCTGTGAAACGTTCTGTTACAAACATTCACTACAAATATAACTGACAGAAATAAACTCTTAGATTCTTTTAAAGTAATTCTATAGCACAGAAGCATTTATAGGAGGGAAGAGCTACAGACGAATGCTGACCCCTTGGCATAACCTGATTCTATCTAATAGAGGACATTCAAAAGCCCCAAGACATCAGTCAATAGCCTTTAAAAGACTTCAAAATTCCAGCCACTAACATCTCATTTTCAGGAACTCTAAGAGAAACTAAGTAGTTACAAGTGGATTCTCTAAATAATGGAGGTAGGATTAGAAATTCTAGGGAACCTTCATAGTTACCAGGGTGCTTAACAAAGGGTTGACAGCAGTTTACTAATGGTGATAAATCCCCTAAAATTACTAATAGTATCATATGAGTTACTAGTACAACACAGTACCCTCAGGGTACTGAAACCAGAACCATACCGAGGCCCCAGGTGAATTTTGTTTGTATAATGTGCTATTTGGATAACAGGGGCATAACCCATATCCTCCCTCGAAGTTTTATCTTTTGATTGTCTTAAAGCCTTAGCAAAGTGTCACCACGTCATCATACCTTCTTCAAATGCCATAATCTGTACTAATAATAGTACCTAATAATGCCATATCTGTACTATTCGCCAATTCCTCCTTTTTCCCATTTTGTGTTTACTAGCAGAAAAAGCAGTTTATTAACACTATGCATTTCTAAAAAAACATTTCATCAGCCACCACTACTGAATGTTCTGATCAGGAACAAAATAGAGGAATCCTAATATAAAGAGAGGAGAATGTGCAACAGAACTTCAAACTCTTAAAGAACCCTGACTTTCTGGACCTATTGAATCTGGAGGAATCCTTGAGACTATGGCCCTGAGTTGTTCTTCAAACCTTGAATCAAACTATCTGCCAAAGTTACTTTTAAACTAAGTAACAATTTAGCCCAAAGAGAAAATACCCTTGAGCATAGCATTACTTTAAAAAATAAAAATAAAGATGGCGGACTAGGCAGAAGGATTGCAAAGACCCTCTTCAACAAAGAAAAGGGAAACCAATTAACACAGACACAGAAGATAATCTTGGACCCCTGAGCCTTGAAGGGAAGG